AGAAGTGAGCAAACCAGTTTATTCAACACATTTTATTTCTATTCAAATACTGTTTTTCAATCATGGTCGAATTAAAAAATTCCTTATTTAAGTTGTTATTTCATTTATTATTGGAATTTAACGAGTATTAAAATTCTCCACTCTTTATAATTTTATATTGTGTTGAATATATTAATAACACTATCACTATGCCTCATCTCATTTATCATCAAATCACTTAAAGAATCCTTTTTTCTTAATAACACATCATGTACTCATCTCAAACCTATCTTTGATAAATACATTGACACTAACAAATGATAATATTACTATCATAATAAATAATACTCCATAACGATTATTTATAATAAATATTAATAAACAATAACCAATTATTCTTAGGTGGTGTGTTACTCACAAAAGACATACATGACCAGACAATAACTGAGGATTCACTGATTGGACATATTAGGGTTCCATATGGTTTCTGATGTGTTAGGTTTGAATCTTAATAATTCTAACAAACAAACATATTCAAAAGAAAATAAAATGAATAAATCAAAACAAATTTATTATAATATAATTTATAATTATGTATTCATTCTTGTTATTTAGTATCTTTTTATTCTTCTATTTTTCATTTTGTTTATTATATAGTTATTTTGAATGAATGTATTCTATTTTAATTTATTTATTGTTCATTTCTTTATTTGTAATAAAATAAAATGATAAAATATGTTAATAAAATTAGATTGTTTAATAGAATTAAATGAAATATTAATTCTATTTCTTTTATGTTTCTTTTCATTCTTTATTTTCAATTCTTTCTAACATTTTTACTACTTCTTCTATTCTTAATCTTTCTTTTGCTTCTTGTTTCCATGTTTTTTCAATAATTTCTTTAATATCTTCTTTAACTTCTTGTATTATTTTTGGTCGTTTACCTGTTGATATTGTATTTGCTATATCCCATGGATGTGGATATAATGTTTTAGGAAATGGATCTTGCCATGTAATGATTTGTAACATTGTTATTGAATATGAATATATATCTGATTCCATTTTATAATGTTCTCGATTTAATATTTCTGGTGCCATGTATTTTGGTGTTCCTATCCCTTTTGTGAATGTCATATTTGTCATCATCATATTAATGTTTCTTGAACTTCCAAAATCTGTTAATTTACAATTAACTCCAATATTATCATCAAGTGTTACAACAAGAAAATTATCTGGTTTAATATCTCGATGTAGTATTCCATTTGAATGAAGATATGAAATTCCTTTTGCTCCATCTATCATGAATTTAATTCTTATTTTATTTGGTATTTCTGTGTTTGTTCTTTTATTAATTAAATCTTGTATTGATCCATATTTTGCATATTCTGTTACCATACATATTTTATTAGGAATAAATACTGCTCCATAAAAATGAATAATATATTCACTTCTAAATTTATCTAACATCATTACTTCTTTCTCAAATTCTTTCATTTTATCTTCATCTTTATCAATTTGTTTCATTTTCTTAATTGCTACTTGATTCCCTCTAAATTCTCCTATATATACAATTCCAAATGATCCTTCTCCTATTTTATTTTCTTCTTTTATTTCATCCGGATCAAGTCGTGTTGATATTTGTGTTTCTCCTTTAATTGAAATACTTTTAATTATTTCTTCTTGTGTTTTATTAAGTGTTTTACTAATTATCATTATTTGTTCTTTAATTTTAGTAGTACATTTGATTGTAATGAATATTTCAAATTCACATGCATATCCTCCTTCAATTGTAATAATATTTGGGTTTGTTCTAATTGAATATTTTTCATTTTCTTCTTTACTACTTATTTGTATTTTCTTTTTTTCTTTCTTCTCATTTCCAATACATATTAATTCTCTGATTTCTTTATTTACTTCAATTTCTTCTCCTTCTCCTATTTCTATTTCTTTTTTATTTGTTATTATTCCATCTCCAATTGATATGAATTTGATATTTGATTGTGAAATTTTAAATATTGTTGTTGTTTTCTCTTGTTCTTTCTTTTCTTTGCGTTTTATAATGTAATTAATCATTATTATTATAATTATAATTATTATAATGATGATAATAAGTATAATGATGATAATTATCATTATCATCCACCATATTATTTCTTTATTACATTTTGTTCCTTCTTCATTGATTCCATACCAAAATGAACATTTTGAACATTTATTATTTTTTGTTTCTTTACATTTATTAATATTTGAATAATGAATACATTCTTTATTTATTATTATATATTCTTCTTCACATTTATTACATTCTTTCTCATTTAAACATGTTATACATTTATTTCCACATTTTGAACATTCTTTATTTATTAAATAATATCCTGTTAAACATTCTCTACATCCATATTCTTTATCTATTTCTCCTTTACATCCTTTAATTGTTGTTGTTGATTTACATATTCCTGTTGAACTCATAAAATATCCTTCTCCACATTTTATACATTTATCTTTTTGATTACATGTTAAACATTCTTTTTCACATTTTGAACATCCTTTCCCATTTCTATAATATCCATTCTTACATATTCCACATCCACTTCCATCTGCTAATATTTGTAAACATGTTCCATTTAATTCTTCATTTGATTGACATGTTTTATCATTTCTTAAATATTTATCATTAGAACAACTCATACAATATGTAGATATTCCATAACATGTTTCACATTTATCATCACATTTTAAACATTTCATATCTTTTGTTAAATAATATCCTTCTTTACATCTTTTACATCCATATGTATTTTGTTCTTCACAATATTCTATTTTTGTATTAATACATTCTCCCTTCAAATTAGGTGAATATGTATTTGAACATTCAACACATTTTCCATTAACATATGATTTATTTGAACAATATTGAATATTATTTTTATTATTACATTTTCCATTTTGATCTTTTATCATATCTTCTTCACATGTTTTATTTATACATTTATTATTATCTAAATATTCTTCATATTTACATTTTATTTCAATATCATTTGTTTGACATATTTCTGATTTTGAACATTCTATACATTTATTATTATTGATGTATTTTCCATTTTCACAATATATTTCTTCATTCTTTCCATTTTGATTCTTTTCTTTATTTAAACATTTTCCATTGTTTAATGTATATCTATTTGAACATGATACACATTTATTTCCTTCATAATAACATTGATCTTCTTTATCTCCATCACATTGATTATTTTGTATTTTATATCCATTTGAACATTTTAAACAATAATTTCTTTCTGATTTATTACATTTATTATCAATTTCTTTACATTCTCCATTTTCTTTAATAAATCCTTCTTTACATTGATAACAATATGTTTCATTTCCAATTTTACATCCATTTTTGAATTCTTCACATGTTTTTGTATTTAAATTAAGATAATATCCATATTCACATTCAATACAATGACTTTGGTTATTTATTTTATTACAATGTGAATTATATTTACATTCTTTATTTGAATTTAAATAATATCCTTTTTCACATTCAATACATTCTCTTGTTTCTTCTTTATAAATCATTGTATCACAATGATAATCATTCTTACCATTACTAAATGTAACACCATTCATTCTAATAATCATTATTTGACTTTTCTTTGTTGTTAATGTTGTTTTTGAAAATTTTACATCACCTAAAACATATAAAGGTTTTGAAGAAGAAATAATTACTGTTGAAATTGATTTATCATTATTTTCTACTTCTTTAATTAACGTTGTTCCTTCATTTGATGATTCAATTCTTAAACTGAATTTGATTATTTGATATGGTTCTTTCTTTCTATAAACATTGAACTTTATTTGATTTGATGATTCATATTTTAACCATTGATTAGGATATGTATATACTCTATGAGTCTTTGATGAATCATAGTTGTTTCTAATAATATAATTATTTGTTGATAATGATAGATGATAGTTATAATTAGATAAAGATACAGTGGTAGTAACAATAAATGAATTAAAATCATCTTCTTCATCTTTTTTAAATTGATGATTACATTCTGTTGTTATATCATGAATTTCAATACAATAATAACTAAAATAACGAACCATTCCACCACATGTTTGATTAAAATATTTATCACTTGATGAAGTTGATGTTATTTTATTGATTGATCCTTCATACGATGATATTAAATACCATATACCAATATTAACATAACTAAGATCAGCAATTAAAGTAGTAGGATTTGAATTGAAGTAAGTACGTTGAATAGGTAAATGATAATTATAATCATAATCATCAATTCCACGAACTAACAATTCATCAACATCTCCAATTATTCTTGTTGGACTATTTCCATTATAGAAATTAAATTGAACATTTTCAAATGAATAAGAGTTTTTAATTAATTCAAGTTCAATGTTTGTTTCAATATTTCTAAAGTATAGACAATAACTTTTACTAATTCCTTCTTCTAATCTTACAATAACATTATTCGCTTTAAATGGATTTGTTGAACCAAAATAAAGTGGTTTAATGTCATTATTATTAACTGAAATAATAACTGATGAATATTTAGTATAATCTCCTGTTAATACACTTGAAGTCGGATCAGTACAAAAAGTATTTTCATAGATTATAACATCATTCCCTTCCACTTTTTGACAATATTCACCATTACAAAATGAAATAAATAGAAGTAATAAACAACACCACATTGTATTTGTTTATTTGAGTTATTTTACTTTTTTTTCTTTATTTCTTTTTTTATTCTTTTATTTTTAGAATATAATAAATTTATATAATTTATTTTAATTTATTTGTAAGAATTTGTGATGAAAAGGGTTATTATTTCTTTCTTATTATCATTCAATAACAACAAATATTTCTTAAAACTTCAATTAAAAAAAAATTTGATTGTTAAAATATTAACATTAAATGATTGTTTAAGAAAATAAAGTGAATATGGTTTGTTCATATTTAATTTAATTGAAATATGTTTAAATGAGAATAATTATCGATAATTAATTTGACGATAGAAAACATATTCTTTCATTCTCATTAACTATCATTTTATTATGATTTTATAATGATTAACATACTTATTCTATTTCATCATATCATCTTCTCATAACTTCATATTTTTATGAAAAGGGGGTAAAGAGATGTTTAAAATAATTTAAATAAATTAAAAATAAATAATTTTAAAATGGTTTATTAATAACACAATAAATAAATAACAACAAACCAATAAACACAAAAATAAATAAAACAACAAAATTAAAAACGACAAAAAACAAATAAAATTATTGTATATTTGATTCCTTAATTTATTTTACATTGTTTGAAACAAACACAACAAACTATTAATGATTAAATAATACCATACAATAAATATACAAATGTATTATAATCATCATCTTTTAGTGTTTGGTAATTTTGATATATCCATAATATGAAATAATAGTTCTTTGAATTATTTGAAATATATTGTAATTTAGTTGTTATATTCTTCTTACTGTTTCATTTTAATTACTTTCATCATTTTTTATTTCTAATTTGTTTCTAAAATGATCACTACAATGAAAAGAAGAATGATGAAATGGCATATCATTTTCATTTAATTATATACTTTAAATATTGATTATTGTTTACTCTCAATACAAAATAAAAAGAGAGGAAATTAAATGAAAACACAAATAAAAAGAACAATCCATTTACAATCATATAATGAAAATGACAAACTAATAATAAAAGAAAGAGAAAGAAGAAATAAAGAGAAAGAAGAGGTAATGATAATTCAACTGAAATCAATGAGATAAGAAGAAAGAGATAAATCAAATCAAACACAAAATAACAAGAGAAAAAGATAAATAAATGATAAAGAAACACAAAATACATAATATGATAACATCAACAACAATAAAATAAAGAATGATAAATGATTAAATATAATAGAAGACATTTGAATAAACAAAGAAAGGAATAAAAATATGTGAAAAATACAGAAAATGTTAAATAAATTGAAGAATTGAAAATCTAAATTAACAATATCAAATAAATCAAAAAGAATATGATTTAAAATAGAATATTGTTTGTAACATAAATAAACACAAATAAATGATAATGATAGTATTAAATATAATAAATTGTATCAACAATTAATAATTTCAAAGAATAATTAAATATAAAGAGAAACATAATATTATAAAGTAAATTTTAATAAACAATTGTCATAAACAAATAAATTTGGTTATAATTAATATTTTGTTAAATTCTGAATATTTAATTATAAATTGTTAAAGTTAATGAATGATAATAAAATAAATAAAGATGAGAATGAACATAAATAGAACGATTGATGTAATAAAATGATATAAAAACAAAATATAAAAAGAAGTAATTCAAAATGAACAATGAACATAGAAACAAGAATAAAAGAATGAAATGATATAACAGAAAGGTTAAAGAAAAAGGAAACAATATAATTATAAGAAAATAAACATGAAAATGAAAAAGAATATAAAAATTATATATAATGAAGATAAAAGAAAATAAATAAAATGAAATAATAAAATAATCAGAATGAAAATATTAACTTAATCAAATAAAAATAATTATAAAATTAAATATAATTTAAACAAATATAATAATGATAATCATCAAAACAAAATAAATAACATAATTTATATTTATTATTCTTTAAATTATACAATATATTAATTATATAATAGTAGAACTCTAACTATTTTGATTACTTTTTATCTTTTATTTATTAAAAATGAATTAAATTAAAACAATTATAAAAATATTAAATAAATAATAAATAATAAACATTGAGATATTTAGTTTATTCATTAAGAATGATAAATTAGATTTGTTAATTTATTATAACAATATTATTTATTTATATTCTTTATTTATTATATTATTTCTCATTTCTTAAAAATGAATAAATAATATATTCATATTATTTCATCTTTATATTTTCATTAAAATGATAGAAGTAATATAAATATCTTAATTTTTAAAATATAATCAAATTGAATAAAAATCAAATAATTCATAATATCAACATTCTCTAATATAATTTATTTATTTAATATTTTGATTACCATCTTTCTTTTGATATTATTAAAATCTTTAGTATATAAAAGAAAATTAATAAATAAAATAATTCATATTCATTTAGATTATTTAATAATTCAAATATATTTGATTTATATTGTTTAAGATGGTTTTATATTACTGTTTTTATATTATTTCTTTATTATTAATTTATATATTATCTCTTTTATATTCTTTTATTTCTTTCTAAAAATCTTTTTATTTATTTAATTTATTATTATATTCTTTTGATATATTGTTATCATTTATATCAAATATTTATATTATATATTTTCTATTTTATTAAATATATTAAGTAAATATATTTGTATTGTAAATTGATTATAATACATTTCATTTATTATTATCATTTTATATTATTTGTTAATTTATAATGTGTAATAAATATATCATTGTATATTATTTATATATTTTATTTCATTTATTTTGATTTAATTTGATTCTTTATTCTCTTCTTTTTCTATGATTTGATTCAAATTCTTTCTGATTATTTATTCTTCTTTATTTTTATAATATGTTATTTTCTTATTATTTCTTCTTTTGATTTATTTCTTTATCATCTTTTTATATTTGATTCTTTATTTCTTTATATTTTATTTATGTTTATTTCTTATTTTATTCTATTAATCTTTTCATTTGATTATTTTCTATTATTTCTTTTTGTATATCTTCTTCTTTTTGTATTCTATATATTTTATTTCATGTTTTAATATGTATATCTATTACTCTTATTATTTTATTTCTTGTTTATTTATCTTTTAATTATATTCTTTTTGAACTTTCTTATTTCTTTATATTTTCTATTTCAATTACATTTATTTCTATATATTTATTATCTTCTTTCTTCTTTATTTTCTATTATATCATATTCTCTATTTCTATATTATTTATATTTCGTATATTTGTATTTCATTCTTCTTTATTTCTTTAATATTTCTATCTTTATATTCTTATTTTCTTATTCTTATATTTATTTGTTTCTTATAATACTCATATTCATTATCATTTTGATTATTTTGTTGTATCTTGTTTATCAATGGATTATGAAATTGTATTAAATGATTGTTCATTGAATAGTAAACAATTTCTAATTTCTTGTTCAATTAATAAAGTGAATTATAATAAAATACATATTTCTTGTTCATTTTATTTATTTGTGATTCATTTTTGTTCTATTATTATTTATGAAACTTACAATAAAATAAATGTTGATGATTGATAACATTCTTGTATTTTTCATCATTTGATAAGTTAATAATGAATGTGTATAATAAAAAGTGAAATGATGTTAATTATATTGTTAAAAACAATATAAAATAACTTGATTCAATAATGATTTAAGATAAAATGAATATTATGTTGAAATGTAAATTATTATCATTTATCTTTGTATTTGAATTATTATTAAAACTAAAATATGATTAATGTTTATGAATTTATTTATCTTTCTTCTACTTACTTTGTTTATAGTTATCTTATTATTTATTTCTTCTTTCTTTTCATTCTGATTTAATACTTTTAAAAGAATATTACAATAAATATTATGTTATATAACTATTCTAAATACATTAAATATCATTAACTTTCTTATTCTGTTTATTTTATATTTTATCTCCAATTTTGTGTTTATTGATTAAAGTTAGGTTATTTTGTTTCTTCAAATATATTAGAAACTCTTAAATTTAGTGTGAAATATCTTATCTATCAATTATTTAGTAGTACATTGTTTAAATTTAAATTCTAATCATAAAAGTTATTTGAATATTATCATACAATTAATAATAATAAATAAATGGTTGTATTATTGGTGTTTGTTCTAATTATTTCCATTTTTCTTTATTATAATGAATTTCATAACAAATTAAATTATGAGTATTTAATAGAAAGTTAATACTAGAATCAATTTCATTATTAATTCATTGATTTTTTATATTCTTTAATTTTATTTTCTTTAATATATTATTCTTTGTTTTTTCTCCTTTTCCATATATTTCTTCTTTGTTTGTTTCATTATATTTTGTTATTCTTTCTTTTTTATTTGTGTTACAACTTATTCTTGTTTCTTATTTCTTTTTCCATAATTACTTATTTCTTCATCTAAAGTATTATAATAATTGTTTTATCTATTTCTCTTTGATGTATTTCCCCTTTTTATCTTGTTCTATGAACATCTCCATTTCTTGAAATGTATTATTAATTTTCTTTTGAATCATTTCATCATAATCTCAATTAATATTAATCCTTTGAACTCCTTCTTCATTCTTTGTTTTTTAACTCTAAACAAATACCACATTTATTGTATACACATTAATAATGTTTTCTTCTTTAATTTCATTATTCACTTTCTCTTCCTAATACATGAATCACTAGTAGATACAGTAGATTTAATTTGTTTGTTAATGACAGACATTGTAATGATGTTTGTTGATATTTTAGTTGTTTATATCTTCTTATTAATTTTAAGAATCTTATTATAATTCTTTTTCTATTTCATTATAGTTTTATTAAGTATCTTCTGATTTCCACTTTCAACTCTTACAAATCAATACAAAAACACTTCACCTCTTTAGAGAACAGAAACACTTCTTTTTTACATTTACATTCAACACTATTCTTCTTCATTTATAAAATTGTATGATAAATCCTTTTATTCAATATAAGAATACAACAAAATGTGATGTTATACTTTGAATAACACCATTAAGAAATACGTAGAAGAACAATATAAAATCAATAAAAACATTCAAAAGAATAATCATTAACAGAAATAATAATAATAGAATGTAAAAAGAAATAAGAAAAAAGGTGTAATACTGAATAAAATAAAGTTAAAGAGAAAACAAAAGAATAACAAACAAATTAAGAAGTGATTATTTCAGTGTTTTAATATGCTCTATTTCTATAATAGAGTTCATTTCTAATATATGAGAATTAGAAAGTTCTTCTTCTAATGTGTTGCCAGTGTTGAATATGTAGAACATTAAGTATTTCATGTTTTTAATAATGATTGTTCGTAGTATTCTGTTGAAGTTGATTTGTAATTTTAGTGATTTTAATCTTCTTACTGTTTCTTTATGTATTAATTTATTGTTAATATTACAGGTATTATTTCTACATAAATTAATTCTCTATTTTGTATTAACTTCTCTTGTAATTCTTTGTATTTATTTATTTTGTAAATATAATTAATTCTATATTTCTATCTTGACATATATCAACATCATTAATATATCATTTTTTTCTTTGATTATTTGATAATATATATCTGGTCTTCTAGTATTGAAAGAATTGTCACTAACCAATAAATCATTAATGTAATTTATAACCATTTCATTATTATTAATACATTTATGATATGTATTAAAATCTATTTCATCAAATTCATTAAAATATGTATGTTTATATATTTGATTACATACATAGTCATGTTTTAATATTTGATTCTTCTTTATTACATGATATCATAACAATATATGAATAATAGATGGAATTGTATTAGGATAATTTTTACAATATTTTAAAGCATCATAATTGAGTATTTTAGATTTAATAATTCAATTTATAATTACTCCTTCTTGCATTTTTACTACTTTGATGAATACATTTCTTTTTATATTTAATGACCTCCATATGGTTATTGTTAATTTCTTATTATTAAATATACACATTTCTTATATATTCACTACATTTCTTTCCATTTAAATATCTTTTATTTTATTTGTTACAATTTCAAATACTTTATTTATATCATGTTTTATTTTATTTATTTGTAT